GGAACTATAGCCACGATAATTATGAGGAAAAATACTGGAATTGCATTTGGATTTGGTGCTAGGGATGGATGCTAAGTCAGTCAGTGGCAAATAAACTATAATGCAACAGAATGTACGCATATGGAAAAACTGAAGAAAAACACAACCATGAGATACGCATTATAATAAACCCAATGACGATAGCAGAACCAAAAGCAGAATTCTTGATAAGACTACTTCATGGTAAATCACGAGCAGCGTTAAATGAAAACGCAGTCAAGAGACTGGCAAATGATGGTACATTCATTGTATGTTTGTGCGGGTATCTGTGCATTTGTATCTTCAGGGTGTGAAAATGGAAAATTATCTGTGCATTAATACACGTACTTATACATAGATAGGTATTAATATATCTACATATATATATAGATATATATGATATGTGCAGAAAGTGAAACCACCCCTAAATTCGCACATCATAAGGAAGCAGACAGGCAGGCAGGCAAACAGTCAGTTAGGCAGGCAGGCAGGCAGGCAGGCAGGCAGGCAGTTTAGGTGACGTCGCTGGCAAGTATTTCAACTTGTTTATTGTATTGTGTATCTAAACATTTTATGAAGGTTGTGAAGGTGGAATTTAATGATTATTGTGATGTACTTGGTTTTCCCTACCAAAAATAAACCGAAAATAATGAAAAAAAATTTCATCAGCAGCTATAATAAAATAGATATATGCGTGTGTGTGTGTGTATGTGTGTGAGAGTCTAGTATGAGATATAAGAAACAAGGAAGCAACAGTGTTTTTCTATTTATACACATACTTGTTTATTGTGCCAGCGAATGAACCAATAATGCCATTTTATGCGGGGTCACTGAGCACAGCAAATATTTATTTCAGATATATAATTTTTAATTGCATTCATAAAATTTTCCATTCTGTTTTGACATTTGACTGAACTTTTGTAGAATTAAATGTGCATTATTCACGTTTTTCAGCTATGATTTTTATTTATCACAAACTGAAAACACAATCGCATTTGTTGTCATGAGTACAAATCTGAAAATGTATCCAAAAAGCAAAAAACAAAAAAAAAAGTAGAAATAAATGGAAAAATAATTTAAAAAAAAAAACAAGAAAAAAAAATCACTTTGAGAAGTTGTTTTTATCACAAGTCACGATAAATCTGGCATCAGTAGAAAAGATTGAATGTTAGTAGAAAAAGTATTACAAAAGGTAAATTACTCACAATAAATGAAATTAATGTTAAACCGAATAAGTGATTTCAGACAAATCTTTCCAAAAAAAAAAAAATTGAAAAAATGGAATAATATTTAAGCTATCAATTTTGCAGAAAATTGCAGTACTTCACTACACGAGTGACGACAATTTTTGATTTATCTTAAAAAATGAATTCTGTACATGACCAACCATAATCAGTTTCACATTTTATATAATCAGAAATTCAATAGTAATCACATTTAAATAATAATCACGTTTTATTCTACTCTAACGTAATTACTTTATTATATTTACTTTATCATCATTTGCATATAAGTGTCATTAGCATTTGAACCGCTGGGGTGTGGTATTTTTAATTCAATTAATATATTTTTTTTTAAAAAATAACTAATGTTAAGTTGCTTTCTAAGAAATCTTAATTTAAAATTTTTTTTTTCAAAGTTAATTTATAAGAACTGGGTAATTTAATTGTCATAACATATTAATGGCACATAATTTTTATGAATACTTGAAAGAAAAAAATTCACTGCCAAACGAGGGGAAAAAGAAGAATATCACAAGAGTAGGTAAATAGATGAACATGACTGTCGATTTCCTAAGTTAACAAGCTATAGACTTAGCCCCAAAAATGTTCTATGCAACTGCCCAGCGGTTGCAAGACGTACACTCGATTACCTTGGAAGCGGGATATTAGCCCCAAGTCATATAGGTAAAATTAGCCCACAGCAATTACAAGATTCATAAATAGTCTAAAATTGTCCTAGCTGGGCCTTTAGGTGCACAATAGATCTTTTAGGTCGGGGTGCTTCAATAGCCTATTACTTAAATAATAGCCCCAAAAATAATCGTTATGTTGTCACAAAATATTCATAGGATCCTTTAATCATTCAATCCTCTTTGTACCATTGTGTTGATGCAAGAAACCTTAGAAATTTAAAATAGTTGTTATTTCGTAGTTAGTTCTATAGTTACTAATTATAAACCCATAGGTAATTTTTAAAAATTAGATAATTTATTATCGTAACAGATTAATGGAACACACTTTTTAAGAATACTTGAAAAAAAAAATCCGCTGCAAAACGAAGGAAAACAGAGGAGTATTAGAAGCGTAGGTAAGTAGATGAACAAGGCCGTTAAATTCCTAAGTGAAGAGTCTACGCAGTTTTAGCCAAAAATAAACGTTGTTGCTACAAAATTTTCTTAGGATCCTTTAATCATTCAATTCTCTTTGTACTCTTGTGTTGATGCAAGAAATCTTAGAAATTCAAAATAGTTGTTATTTCTTAGTTAGTTCTATAGTTATTAATTATAAACTTTAGTAACTTTGGTAAGGAAACTCAGCACAGAAAAAGTTCTTAAACTGATAATAATGCAATATTTATATTATATTATATAATTTTATTATTATGCACTATATAGGAGCAGAAAAGATGTTTGATCATCTTCTTTTTTTTCTTATCACTGAACAAGAAAGAAGTCTACAAGCAAATAAGAGCTTAAATAATATCAATTCTCACAAAAGTATGTGCTGAACGTGGCCATCAAATTAGGAATTTATTAGACTACATACAACCCAAAATG